GGGGTCATTCTGCATTTCTGGCTCAGGAGCTGAAACATAACTGAGGCCTAGATGTTATCTCTAGATTGAAACTCTGCCTCTTTGGTCAATAGACTGGAGGCATTTTTCCTAAGATTATTCGATGCTGCCCAGAAAGAACCTCATTGTCCTGACAGCTTAATGATTAAGGAAGTGCACAAGCAAGAGAGAAGGATGGCGAGGCAGGTTGCTGAATGGGGCCCAGAATCAAAAGGAAAGAAAGAAGAAAAAGTCATATTAAAGAAATGAAGTTTGATTTCTGTGTGATTACTTCAGTAAGACAGAATATGATGCCATATTAGAAAGCATTTGTAAAAAAACTACACAGTACTATTTTATGTGTAAGAAATTATTATCATTTATCTTGAAACTTGAGGTTTAGAATTATCTTGAGGTATTTAGAACATGTTAGGTGTTAGCATTATCTGGGACCAGGATGTACATGTTGATCATCTCAAGTTTTCTCAGATCCTTGAGACCACATTCAGCGAAATTAATAATAAATAGTTATCGGTTGAGCCAAGACATGAGGTTGATTTAGAGGATGGAAATGGGACCATTTGCAAGGTTCTTCCACTTGGAAGATGCTATTTCTCTGTGTTTTTTCTTCTCATTTTCCTATTGCTATTAAGTTATTCATCTTATTTCAGAGCTAATACTTTTTAAAAATATATATTTTATTGATTTTTTACAGAGAGGAAGGGAGAGAGATAGCTAGAAACATCGATGAGAGAGGAACATCGATCAGCTGCCTCCTGCACATCTCCTACTGGGGATGTGCCCGCAACCCAGGTACATGCATGCCCTTGACCGGAATCAACCTGGGACCTTTCAGTCCGCAGGCTGACGACAGAGCTAATCCTTTGCTATTTTTGAAAAGCTAATAAGAAAGATACAGAGAGAAATTACATGAAAGAAAATTAAATGAAGGATATAGTACGGGACCAAAACCTCAAGGAGTGAATGTACTTGAGGCTTCAGGACTTTTCAAAAGTAAGGAAGTCTAGACCCCACTCCCATTGATGTTTTTCATTAGGCTTTGTCATTGGCATTTCTCAACTCACCTGGGTATGTCTGCTTAATATTTGAATGCAGTTAACTGTGACCTCATGTTCATTTTATGATTTTAACACTCATATTAACAATACACTTATCAACGTTAAGATGCCATTTGACGGGATTAATAGTTATGCAAAAGATCTACATGAAAATAAAATAAGGTTATGACTTCTTAAAGTAATCCTCTCAGATATTTATATATTCATATTCAATTTAGGGGAAATTATAGTTTTTAAGTTTTTGTTACAGAAGTCAAAGGCGTAAACATTCATTCTCTTTCTCAACTTTCCCTTCTCACATTCTTTCTGTTTTACTCAATGTCTTTCTGTCTCTATTTTTACTCATGACTTGATTTTGTTGGTATATTCAGTTTGCCATTCATTCACTAAAATGACTGGAAGTGAAGTTCCTTTAGAAGTTTAGCACAAACACTACTGGTTTATTTCAGTGGGAGTCCATCAACCAAAGGTGGAAAAAATTCCAAAAAAATTCTATTTGCTGGAAAATTTGCTAATAAGCTTTTGGTTACTCAAAGACTTGCTCACAATGTGGGATTTGAGGGTGGGGGCCTGGGTGGAGAGAAGACAAAATATAATAAACACAACAGAAAATTACTGGCATCAAACTAGAGTGCATTAGGAAAACACGAGAGAGAACTGTGAAAACAGTCTTTGTACTTTGAAAAGTGGAACGTTTCAGAGATGCCGATTATAAAGATTGGAACTAATAGCAGTGGCCCAAAGCAAGTTTCTGATTCAGTCCTGAATTTGCACATTTTATTCTTCATTCATAAAGAAATCTTAGTTTGCAAACAGGATGTATACCAGACCCTTCAATGATCTAAGAATTTCATTTACATAGAAAATTAATGTAAACACATGCCCTTCTTTTAGAGTGAGAAAAGACTTAGCTAAACTGAAACAAATAGCATTTACTATAGCTTATCTATTTTTTAAAAATTAGAAATGTAAAGCGTATGAATGAAGCATCAGATTTTTAATTAAAAACATATTTTAGCATGTTTTCTCTTTTTCTGGTACATTTATTTTTTTCTTCCATTTGTTGACTCCAATGTGAATTCAAATAAGTCCTTGGTTTATTTGACTTTTGATTTTAAAAAGCAAGGGATGAATTTCAGTCCCTAAATTTGGAAACATGTCTTTGGAGTGAGGTCCTTCTAACTTCTGTGAGGGAGTGGCAATTAAATTGGCTCTTAGAGAAAGGGTATGATTTCAATAACAAATGGATGGGGTAGAGTTCTCCCATACCAAGGGGATGGGATCATGGAAAGCAAGAATGTAGATGTGGTCAAGTCATTTTTGATGAGTGAGAGTGACCTTATAGTGTAAAACAAAAGCAAAAGAGGAAAGTTAGGAAATTAGTCATGTGCATCACCCCAGAATGCCAGGACTACGAGTTCTATTTGAATAATTGGCCAATGGCAGACATTGACAGTTTTAAGCTCCATGAGGAGGCAGTGGGTAAGCTAGAAAAAGAAAACAAATGAAGAAAGACTAAATGCCTATGGAACAATTCCTTGTGCTATACATTTTATAGTTATGTCAAATTCCCCACTATGCAGATAGGGAAACTTGAGTTCAGAAACATTGAAAACTGCTAAGATCTATAAATTTAGCATTCAAATCCCAGTTTGTTGAATGAAAGCCTAACCTGCAATAATGACAAGATGCAAGAGATACTTTAGAACCAGAGATCTGGCAGAAGGCGCAGAGATTGGGGGCAGGGACATTAAATGGAGGCCTCTAGCCTGCATCTAGGAAGACCTCATGAACTATGATGTTAGAGAACATAGGGCAAACACCAGAATTCTAGTTTGTTATTTTTTCTCATTATCGAAGTTAATAGGATTTCTGGGTTAGCATACTAGCCATACTTAATAATATACCTCATCTTAACTTCCCATTAAAATATCATAATGATACACAAATAGAGAGACTGCAGCACGATAAATTAAACATAAGAAGAGATCAAGGCCAGAATTTTTTCTAATTGTATCTCTGGTGTGGCAGATTTGAAAAGCATAATCTTTAGCTATAGGATCTGGGTTCCAACCTCTGAACTTGGACAAGAGAAAAGCCAGCCAAGCCATTAGGCAAACATGTTTACCTCTCCATTACAGGTTGCTGACTATTAGATTGAAGGAGCTATTCTTCTGGACACATAGGCATCAACTTCTGAGTGGTAAGTGTACTCATATCCAAACTCATGAAATTCAGAGCCTGGTTCTTTCCTACCTTTTTTCTGTATGTGCATCCACTTCTCTCTTAACATTCACTGAGAGATTACAAGTCTCAGGGTACTAAAGGCCAGGAATTAAAGGGGGCTAAATGTAGATAGAGATGGGAAAATGTTGCTAGTAGCACACTGAAGATATGAAGAGCTGTGAACTGTATCTGATCCAAGCAGCCTACTGTTAGCATCGAAGAAGATGCAAACTCAGTTCACCACGTGCCCTGTCACATTTCACCAGATGAGCAATGCATTATGCACCTCCTCTTGGCTTTTAGGTTCATTGAATCCACATTCAAATGGATTGTGAGAGAGGCTGCTCATCCTCTACATTGCAAAAATCATGTATGTATGACTTCAAAGATGAGCCACTAAAAACTAAACCAAATCAAAGCATGTGGCCTCTGATAGGAAAATATAGAATAAGAACCAAGAATCTTGCCACAAAGGCATGCAGGAGTACTTTGCATGATTAATCTCCTGAAGGCATTAAAAAAACATACCAGCACCTGGGCCTCAATGCCAGAACTTCTGAAATTATTAGTGTGGAGGTTGGTCTCTGAATTGGTATGTTTTAAAACATACCACATAACTCTAATGCAGCCAAAATTAAGAATGTGACTTAGCAAGAACATCTCTCCACAACTGTGCTCCCCTCACTGAATGGTACTTTCTTGATATGGCAGAAGAGAAACCTTCAGTAAGAAAACTCTCAGTGAACCATTGTGTTTCTCCTACCTTCTTGGAAATGCTTCTTCTGTAATGCGTATATTATAAAATGCTCCAAGAAAATACACACTATTTTATTTTATTTTATTTTTTAAAAATATTTTTTATTAATTTCAGAGAGGATGGAAGAGGGAGAGAGAGATAGAAACATCCATTATGAGAGAGAATTATTAATTGGCTGCCTCCTGCATGCTCCCCACTGGGGATCGAGCCGGCAACCTGGGCATGTGCCCTTGACTGGAATCGAACCTGGGACCCTTTGGTCCACAGGTCGTCCCTCTACCCACTGAGCAAAACCAGCTAGGGCAATACACACCATTTTAAAACATCAGAGCCAAAAAGAAAGTGAGGTAAGCTGAAATTTCATGATGACCTGAGATTACTTCTTTGCCCCTTTTTTATAGAATGCACTAGAGGCCCAATGCATGAAATTCATGCAAGTGGCTCAGCCCCTGCCACCACATCGGCTGCCTCTGCCTGGCACCCCCCCTCCCCGCTCCAGTGGCCACCTCTGCCTTGGCCCCCCACCGCCGTGGCTTCATCCAGAAGGTCATTCGGTCTAATTAGCATATTATGCTTTTATTATTATAGGTTGTCATTCCAAGATTGGTTGAGTTCAGACTAACAGAGAGCAGTTCTAATGAAGACAAGGACCTCGAACTGGGACAGTTACACAGGGAAGCTGGCTGGGCTCTGTTCATGGTCATGGAACCCAAAGAGTGCCATGAAGATCTAGCATCACCAACCAAAAAAGAAGTAAAAGTGTTTTCCTGGACTGTTTTCTTCCGAACTCGCTGGCCCTCAGGTGGTTTATCCATGAAGAGGAAAGGTGATATGATTTAAAGCTTCCTAAGTCTGATCTATACATGATCATATTATTTTTAGTATTAGAATTTGATTAGCATTAAGGACAACAAATAAAACAAAAAATATGTTCTACTTACATTTTAGCAGTTACTTTAAATGTCATGGATATTCCAGCATCAGATTCGCAATGAGGTGAGTGAAGAACTTGCACGTAGCACCAGCTTTAAGGAGGGGAGGTGCCAAAAGACTCAGTAATTTTAAAAAAAAATCTTGTGTCACTTTTAAAAAAATCAAAATTAGTACAAAATATCTATGATGAGCAAAATATCAATAATCAAATAAAAATAGGCTGCGTTTTAAAATTTAGATTTGCTTAGTGCAAATTAATACTTATAGTGTGTGACTGGGTTAATATTCAAATGCATGTTTATCAACCATTCATACAATAAACATGGGGTGATTGCAAATACAAGGATGTTGGAAATATAGTCTTGGACTTGAAAAGATTTATAATCTAATGTGGGATGGTGAAGTCTGTGGGGTAGGGGAAGAAGCAGACACATGCAATTAATTTTAAGACAAGGAAAAATAGAAGAGTATAATAATACAAGTACCCATAATATGGGTATTTAGAAGACAAGGTTTTTGACAGGGAGTGTGTGTGTGTGTGTGTGTGTGTGTGTGTGTGTGTGCATGCACACACCCCTATGAGGTAGAGTTAGGCAGTCTTCATGAAAAATGTGACTTTTAACTGTGTAGAGTTTTTTAGGAGAGATGATGGAAAGACAAACTGAAGGAATGAAGTGACAAAGGCACAGAGACTTGGGCATACAGAGAAAATTCAGGAATTCAGGAAAGGAGACAGCTTTTGTGGCAGAATCGTAAGTGTGCATGATTTGCTACAATAGTCAGACCTGTGGCTGGAAAAGTTGGTAGGAATTTGAATGTTATAAGTTCCCATCATCAGCTGGATTCCAGAGTCTGGTCCTCCAGGGTGAGGAGGAGAGCTGTAAACACCCTTTAAAGTCTGGAGTCCCCACAAATGAGAATCCACCGAGTTTCTAAATGCAACAGTGTTTGGGAAGTTGGTAGCTCTGACCTGGTAAACTTCGCCAAGAAGGTTTAGTTAAACATCGAGGGAAACATGCTGCCTCCAGAATTTAGCTTTGAAATGACAAAAGCCACTATTCACTCCCCATCCATGTCACGTGCACAGTGCATCAGAACAAAGGTGACACATTCTCAGCGATCGGCCTCAGGTTGGGTGGCTCAGGAGCGATACCATTCACTGTGTAACAGGGTTTTGAATGAAGCCGGGATTGACTCTTAGGATGGAAAAGCATTTCTGTGAGAGAAAAACAAAGCACATCAAAGAGCAATCATTTTTCAAATTGTACACTCGCTTCTGGAGATGTAGCGTTTTTGGCTTTGACTTGAAAGCTGTGGTGTTGAGTCTGGGAGGAGGTGGAAGGTAATGGCTGTAGACAGCAGCAATAAACGAGAACCTCAGGAACCCTTCTGGTTTGGCATGATGGAATCCAGCGGCAAGTACACTGTATGTATCTAAAATGAATAATAACCTCATAAAAATGTAAGCAAATTTTGTTGTGTGTCCTCCCCTGATCTTACCTGACCTTAACCATGACACTTGTGACTCTCTCTCTCCTCTCTCTCTCTCTCCTCTCCTCTCTCTCTCTCTCTCTCTCTCTCTCTCTCTCTCTCTCTCTCTCTCTCTCTCTCTCCTACTTAATTTCTAAGATACTGTGTATTGTGTTTCCTTTTTGGTTTTGACCAAATTTCCATCTATTGATTATTGGCAATTTTCTTACTACATTAGAATATTGTGGTTGGAAATAAAGAAAAGAAAACCCCCACTTTTTTCTCTTTTGTCAATTAGAATAGAATTAGGGGTGTTCTAAATGGCCAAGTCTAAGAATGTATAATTTGGCTCTATACAGCCCTTATTTAACTCTTATTCTTAAACAAAAATATTTGAAAGGGAAACAAAAGCCCAATACCTATAGCTAGTGACTCATGGAAAAGTTGGACTGGAATTGTTTATTGTATGGCTGTATTTTTGTATTATTTAGAGTTCTTGTATTTCTAGAATTCTCTAGAAACTAAAATATGCTCACTAACAGTGCTTGCTATTTAAAAATAAGTGCTATTTGCACCTAAAATAAAATGTTGCTTAAAAATGCGCTTGAAGGAACAAAACTTTCATTCTTCTCCATTTCTTCATTTGGCTATATGGAAAACATTCCACTGAGCTCATTCAGAAAATGTGCAAACCTGGCTTTGGGCGCAATACTAATTTTCTAAAGTGGATGGGCCAGGACTGGTTTCCGTCCATTTCTTGCAATCAGTTGCACGTGGCTGGAAGACTAACGGTGATTTATAGTAATTGCCTGTCATCAGTCTATGCCATGCTCACCTGCATAATCCATCAATTGTCCCAACAATGCCCAGAGCTCATAACCTCTCTGAGGTTATTTGGTTCTTGTGTGAGGAAACACACGCCAAGTGCCAATGTTCCAAGAATGAAGCCCTGGCCCCTTGTGCCTGCTGCTCCAACTGCCACAGCAGCAAGGAGAAAAGAGTCCCAGGCATGTTGCCTCACAGCTAATTGGAAGGTAAGAAGCCGTCCCCTGAGATTGCGCATTACACGGGCAGAGCACGATAGGCGTGGTCTACTACCACAGGGTTCTTCAACCTCACCACTGCTGGCATTTAGGATGGGGATAATTCTTTGTGGTAGTGACTGTCCTCTGCAATGCAGCATCCTTTGATTCTACCCACTACATGCCCCACCCCCGGCCCTGTGTTGTGACAATAAAAAATAGCCCCAAACATGCCAGCTATCTCCTAGGGGCACTCAGTTTCTCTGGAATGAGAACTGGATTGTACTAGGGGAAAAGTAAAATAGCTTTCATAATTGGCCAGCATTGCGTACTCAATGCATGGTGTCTATAGCAGTCTACAGCATGGAAAGGAATAAGACAAGTATTAATTAAATATATTTAAAAGTAATGTATATGCACACAAAGCATAGATCAACACTTTAAGAAAACTTTTCACTAGAGAAGGGAGTGGTAAAAATTAATCTCCACAGTTACAGTATTTCTGAAGCACCTGTATTGGGAGAAAAGTGAATGGTAGAAAGTTTTTCTACATTGGTTACTATTTTGACCAACTCATTGATTTTGTTTTATTTTTTTTCCAACTCACTGATTTTAATTCTACTCTTCTGTTATATAAAATAATTATAACTTTTCTTCCCCATGGTAGTCCATCAACTATTTGAAAGCATATACTATATCATTCTAAAGGCCCTTTCCAACCTTTTTATCCTATAATATAGGATTTAGTTTTAAGTTCCTTCATCTTTCTCATTTCTTTCCCCTAATAGAGACAATCTATTTATATTATTCTTAAATTATGATTCCCAGGATTGAAATGAGAACTTGAATCAATTAGAAATGCTTTTCTTTGCAAGAAAGAGAAAATTCAGTACGAATTTAAAACTTTAAAATATGTTCTCACAAAATAAGAATTTCAAAGATGGTTGATTGTTAACATTAGTTCAGCTGTTCCAGGACCCAGTCTCTCGCTGATTATCTGTCCTACACTTGTTCATACAGAGTAAAAAGGGAGGGTAGAAAGGATGTTAGCACCAGCAGTATCTGCAACATATGCTATCACTGTATAATAGGAAGAGCATCACTGTATATATACAATGTGTATGTAACTGCATCAATACACTTGAAAAGCCTAATTGCTTCATACTATATTACATGACTGCCACTGTATTTAACTATATTATAGAAACTATTCCATTGCAATATAATTTGTCTCTTCCTATCTTGAGATCATTGATTACTGGAACCCTATATTATTTGTTATTGCACCCTAATATTATTAAAGCTTACATACATAAGTAATTACTAAAAATATTTTAAAATTATCCATGTATATAAATATGTCCTCACCTTAAGAGCAAAATTTTCACTTGCAAGAAGTTGTTTATTAGAAAATTTCTATTTACAACATATTTATTTTTCCTTCTGCTACACTGGAATTTCTTGTGGAGGTCCATGAATTCTCTAGAAACTGTATATAGTATTTTGTGTGCATGTGCATTTAGGAAGTGAACCACAGCTTTAATCAGGTTCTTAAAGAGGTATTTGGCTCAAGAAATTGTAAGTTCTCATACAATATGGATTTTTCAAAAAAGGAGAAATAGAAGATCAAAGGAAAAATACTCTGAGAGGAGAAAACTGTTTGGGAAATCTAGACAGCCAGAAAAAGCCTCTATTTGAAGAGATTTACATTCTTAAAAGTTTAAAAATGTTTTAAAAAGAAAAAAAGTATGTTCAGCGACAATCCTGATTTCATATTAAATTCTATCACTGAGCTCCCACAATGGAGACTAGTTAATGCCAAAATCCAAAAAAACGGTTTAGGAGTCTAATCCCTATTGGATTATGAGTTTAAAAATAATAGACTCCCAAAATTAAAATGTATTTATTCTTTCAATAGGATAAAGATGCAATATATAACTGTCTTTTCTATGGGTTCTAGATCCATTTTCAGCAAATGCCTTTTAAATTCTATGTTGATGGATTTATACAGATTCAGCAAATATTTGACTGGCCCACAGTAGGACCAAAGTAGAGGAACTGGTAGGATTTAGGAGTGAGGTCTATCACTTGAAAGGAACAGGAACTTGACCACAGCTACAATAAAGAGCCAAATTAAGGAGGTAGACACATTTATTCTATGGCACATTTCCTAACTTTTCATCCTCCTAATTAGAGGGATTTTAGTTTCTTATGAAATGACCTGCAGATGACTAAACAATTTATTATGCTATTGTATACATTCAGCTTAATATATTTTGGAAAATAAAGATGTCAATTTCCACATGTACAACTGATACCAAAAGCTTTCTTTGCAGTCTTAAACTGGAGGCCGCCTTAAGTCAGACACTCCTGACCCATGCACGTTGGAATGATTTTTCAGGGAAAGGCATGCAAACTTGGAAAACAAAACAACAAGAAAAATAACAGTGAGAATCAATTCATCTTCCCCACCCAAGGAAGAAGATTCCCTAGAGTCGGCGCTGGTGCACCACGTGAATTAGGACTGTCTGACTTACTGTCTGTGGCTTGCTTGTTTTGTACTCAAATGAATATCGAGGGTAATAATTTCCACTTGATTGTTAACTATTATGCTTTTATATTTCTAAACATTGTTGTTTTTAAATGAATACTTCCATTGATTTGAATGTTGAAATACATTTGCAAAGAAAAATAGACTTTAAAATGCTGATAACCAAAGTGCAAAAAATGGCATCTTTTAACTTCCGGAAAATCAAGGAAGGATCTTTGAGTGTCACTGGTTTACACACTGGTACATTTTTAATTAGTTGTATTAAAACGGGATACTCCAGGGCTCCCAAGTCTCTGCCATAAGAATTTCATGTTCTACTTGGTTCTCTTGAAACATGTGCTCTTATATTTTTTAATATATTTTTATTGATTTCAGAGAGGAGAGGCGATTAAAAACATCAATGATGACAGGAAAGGGGATAGAAACACCAATGATCAGCTGCCTGCTGCACACCTCACACTGGGGATCAAACACGCAACCTGGGCATGTGTCCTGTCTGGGAATCAAACCTTGACCTCCTGGTTCATGAGTCGATGCTCAACCATTGAGCCAAGCCAGCCGGGCTGGAAACACCTGCTCTGGGAACCCTGAGCCACCTTGTGAGAAGACTGACTGCAATTTGCTGAAGAGATCACGGGAAAAGGCTGAGACTCTGTGAAAAGGGAGGGGCATAGCTGAGACTGACCTTCTTTCAGTCACGGCCAAGGCACCAGACATATGAGTGAACCTGTGTTGGGTCCTTCAGCCCAGGCAAGCTCCCAGATGAATCTCATCAAATGACCCCAGGCGATGTGAAGGGCAGACACACGAGCCTTGACACAGGAAATCAATAAAATGTCATCTTAAACTACTAAATTTTGGGGTGATTTGTTAAGAGCAATGCATAATCAGAACACCTTTGTTACCATTTTAATTGATTTGATCAAAACCTTTCTTCACTTATTTAATGCCAAAGAAAGATTTCTTGGTTGCATTTTGGAAAACATTAATCCAGGCAACCGATCCCCCCCATCCATAAACTCCCATTCCTTTTGCCCCTGTTTTCAACCTTGTTTTTGCTTATTCATATCACTGCGGCTACAGATTCTGATTTTACTAATCTGTCCTTGAGTCAGAGTGTTTATATGTCTAGCAGCCCAAGAGATTCCCTATCAAAGGTAGTTTAGATGGTCTTATTCCAATACATTGTGCCAGTTCTAGTAACTCAGATTCTGTGTTTTTCTTTTGTACCCCCCTCCCTCTGTACTGTAAGCAGTCCTACTAACGGCGTCTTACCCTGTTCGTTCTGCTTACGCACCTAATTTGATAGCCTTTCTAATACTCCACTGTAAATTAAAATCTTTCCTGGTTTTCATTTTCTGTTAAGTACTGTAACACATTGCTACACATTTAGCAGCTTAAAACAGTACCAATTTATTCTCTCACAGTTCTACAGATGTCTAGGCTCAGCATGGCTCAACTGGGTCTCTGCTCTGGGTGTTACCAGGTGGGAATCAAGATATCAACAGGGCTGCCTCCCTTTCTGGAGGCTGTGGGGATGAATCTGATTCCAAGCACCTTCATATTGTTGTTGTAGTTTAGTTCCTTGCATTTGTAGAACTGAGATCCCTGTTGCTTTGCTGGCTGTTGGCTGGGGGTTATTCTCAGCTTCTAGACACCACCTGCATTTCTTGGCTTGTGGCTCCATTTCTCCATCTTCAAAGCCAGCAGTGGAGTACAAAATGCTTCTCATGCTTCAGAATGCCTCTGATTTCTCCTTCTGCACTTCTCTTCTGCTGTTAAGAGTTCATATGATTACATTGCCCCCACCACTCTCCAGTTAATCCAGGAAAACTTTCCATTTTGAGGTTTGTTGGTTTAGTGACATTGATTCCCTCTGCAAAATACTTTCACAGTAGTATCTGGACTAGCGTTTGATTGAATGATGAAGGGATGAGAATTATGGAGGAAATTCTTTGGAATTCTGCCTTCCACCACATATCATCTCAGGAACTGAAGATCTGTCTTAAAATCAAGCCCTAACCGGTTTGGCTCAGTGGGTAGAGCATTAGCCTGTGGACTGAAGGGTTCCAGGTTCGATTCCGGTCAAGGGCATGTACCTTGGTTGTGGGCACATCCCCAGTAGGAGGTGTGCAGGAGGCAGCTGATCAAAGTTTCTCTGTCATCAATGTTTCTAACTCTTTATCCCTCTCCCTGCCTCTCTGTAAAAAGTCAATAAAATATATTTTAAAAAAATCAAGGAGCTGAGTTCTTGCTACCACCCATCTCTTCTGGTTTCTCTACTTTCCTGGCCTAACCCTGGTTTGCTTTTTGTCTTAAATGTCAGTGTCACACATTTAAAATATTTTCAATATCCCATTTTGTCCACTTGCAAATACACTGTTGACCATTTTCTGAACTCCCTTCATAATGATTATTTGCCTGGATTGCTATCTATTCATTCATTCGTTCACTCATTCATACATTGTAAAAGTTCTTACTAAGTACTTATTATATGTCAGGTACCTTTTAGGAGCTGGCAATATGGCAGTGAAAAAAACAAAACAGAAAACAAAACAAAAACAGAGCCCTCAAAAATATATATATTTGTGTTCATATATGCATATATGTGGTATGAAACATAAAAAATGAGCATATAATGAAATTTCAAGTGTTAAGTATCATGAGGAACAATGAAGGATGAATGGTTCTAGTGAGGGATGGCCTCTCTGAGAGATAACATTTAAGCACAGGTGTGAAGGGAGAGAAGAAGCAAGCCTCTCTCTGGGGAAGAATGTTCTAGGCCAGTGGTTCTCAACCTGTGGGTCGCGACCCCTTTGGTGGTCGAAAGACCCTTTCACAGGGGTCGCCTAAGACCATCCTGCATATCAGATATTTACATTACGATTCATAACAGTAGCAACATTACAGTTATGAAGTAGCAACAGAAATAATTTTATGGTTGGGTCACAACATGAGGAACTGTATTTAAAGGGCCAGAAAGTTGAGAACCACTATTCTAGGCAAATGGTTCTGGACAGGATTCCTGCTTAGTACAGTAAGTAAACAGCAAGAAGATAAAGCAACTGGAGCCCTGGGCCAGGAGGAAGAAAATAGGAGAGGAAGTCTGATAGGAGGCGGGACCCTGGTCCCATGGGGCTTTAAGGTCATGGAATGTACACTTTTTCACTTTGACTAAGACAAGAAGGGATGGGAGACATTTTTGCAAAGGAGTTAAATGATCTGACATGGCCCTAATGTGTCTTGCTGCTGAAGAAAACAGGAGGCCCTATTAGGAAGCATTTGCTGTTGTCCATGGTAGAAAGATTGATGGCTTGGACTACGGTGGCAGCCGTGCAGAAGCTAAGAAGTGGCTGTTCAGCATAACCTTGAAGGAAGGGACAGCTACTGCTTATTCCTGTACACGAATATTCTGTCTGACATACCTGCAGTGGGTCACGGCTCCAGTCCCTTCTTCACTTATATAGGTTCTTATGTCTTTTGTATTTTCTGCCTGATCCTTTCCCGCTCTCAAATCTGAGCTCCCATCTCAAAACTGCCCACAACAATACAACTAAGATCTGAGGAGCAAGACAAAACATTTTTAATGGGCAAATAGAGCAGAGGAGCTGGAGAGTAAAGAAAAAATGTGGACACATTCCTTACAATGTCCAGGAGGAGCCAGACTTACCAGTATTTGGAAGATGAATAAATTAGCATTCCTAACTCTAGATATTTTTAACCAAAAACTAGTTCAGCCACTGTTTTGTGATGAGTCTACTTACAAGCAACTTAAAAAGATACTTTCCTGCTGTCCAATATGTAGATGTTTTTAATAATAAATAACAACAACAGCAAAAGGTGGGTAGCTACAATTCAAGGCAAACGCCATAGAAAGCTGAAATAGGGAGGCAAAATGATGTAGGCGTCTAGAAGTGAAAGAGAAATCTATATTACAAATATTATAACTTCCTGTTATTAGGAGGTTCTCAGAGTGTTTCCTATCTTCCTTCTTCCCTGGGAACTGCCCCAAAGGGTTAATCATTCTGGGATTTGATGCTATTAACCTATGAGAGGGCCCTGCAGCGAAACTAAGAAAAAGCAAAGCCCCTTCGCTTGTGTCTACATTAAGACCCATCATATTTCATTCTGTGGGAAAACATAAGTTTAATTGAACAGATTAAACAATAATATATCAAGGCACCCCCTACACAATCTAGAAATTAAAGACAGTTTTGACTTTCCAAACATCTCTAGTTCTCTTTCTAACCATCTTCTTTGTTCATTCTACTCCAAATCTAAAATCTACCCCCAGGGCCATTTTTATGCCTTGGACCTTGTCTGAACTAGCTCATTATTAGCTGTGAAGGAGTTTGTAAGGTTAAATACCATAAGTTTTTGTTTTAATCCTTCCGAGAAATTTACTAGTTTTCTAAATCAAATTCTCTCTCCTTAAACAACAGTCCTTTGTACATGCTAAGCTCTTGCCTCTAGTCTTGCTGCTTTGCCTGATTCTCCAGAGTTTCCTTGCCATTTTTATTGGAATTTTAGGACCCCTCTTGGTTTTACACAGGAGGCCCACACATTAGGGCATCTAAACACTTCCTCTCATTTCTCTAAACTAACACAGTCCTCCACCCAACCTACAATCCTTCCATCAGGCTCACAGTTTCTAAGGATTTAAGACTCTCCGTGCTTAAAAAAGCTAATAATTGAAAATAAATGTCTAAAGTGCTTATAACAGTGCCTGGCACTTGGCAACAGCTAGATGACCATTAACAGTTATTATGGATAGTCATCCATGATATTGGACTCTTAAGACTAAGGTCAAAATGGTCATGAAGAAAAACATGTGGGAGAAAGTTGGTGAGGTATTTACCTCTGGGCCTGACCCAAAGAGATGTTCAACAAATCTTAGCCATTTAGGATGGTTCTTTATGTATGATATTTTTAAAAGTATAGGTGTCTTAAATAAAAAGTAGACCTCTTACTAAGAAGAAAATTACACAATTCTGCAGTATTATTTGATATGAGAGAGAAATGGAGTGTTTGCAATGCATACTGAATAGTTAGGATTTCAGGTTTAAAAGGAAATGATGTCCTTAGGAACCTAATACCACACATTTGTGGTAATAAATAGGGTTGTGCTAGTGAATGTCAATTCTTTTTGAATTTCCATGCATGCATAGCTAGAAAAAGTGTAGGTGATCCAAGTAGATTATGTTGCTTGCTCTTTTAATTAAATACCAACATTTTGATACTAGACACACTTAGGGGATGGCAGCCTGGTAAGAAGACTTGCAGCAATAGTTCCATAGAACCTTAAGACAGAGAAAGTATTACTTGTCTGTGCCGAAGTGGATGAGGGATGGTAGAAATTACAGAGAGCCTAGAATTTCCTTAAGACCTAGCTGGGTTCTACTGCTATTATAAGAATACTTAAAATAAATGGACAATAGTTTCCAGCTCTAAAACATATTATATGCAGTACATACTTTACCCTAGTTTACATTTTACATTTATTATGCTCACTGAAACCACAAAGCCAATGTTTAATTTTACAGTTTGAAGTCACACATAGGGAAATGCTTTACAAAATAGGATATTGTTCCTCAATGAAAAATATTACAGTATAGGTCCCAAATGACTCAGTTCAAGTGCTTTACCCGAATAACAGAGCTGTGGTGGAATGCAGGCTATAGGACATAGTAATGCTTTCAATAGTCGATTCCGGTTTGAAATTTGCCAAAGCTGAAGAGACATTTTAAATGAGATCTGTCTTAGATTTCAAAGATTTTTTGCTTTTTCAACTGCATTATATTTACAGAAAGATGTCATTACTTCTGGAAAAACAGGGCTCATAAGCAGCTTGTATTTTACTGCTTATATACATGTAAATCTTCACTGTTTTATTCTACCTTGCAAGCACCTTTCAAGAATTAAAAATACTCAGTTCTACCTACGTAGATTTATTACCTGAATTTATTCACAGACTTGAATACAGAAACCAAATATTTGTGCCACTGCTCACATCAAATTGAACATATTTCTACAACCTGTTTAGTTATCGGCAATCTATTTACAAAGCATGTGCATGATTTTCTCTGACAGATATGTGATACTAAAATGTAAGCAGTGTTTGTTGACTCCGACATTTATGTCATGCTAAATGTATAATGTAAACACACCATCAAGAGGACTAGGCACTTCTTAGTCAAAAGTCTAGTCTCACAAAGTACACAGAGTGTGATCTAGTCTCAATATGCTGTCGGTGTGGGGCGGAGTGTTTCTAATACATTGTGAATTATTAAAGCAAAGACTGAGATACAGTAGCCATGTGTTTACTATAAACAAAAAATGTTGCAAAGCTTAAACAAAGTCAGGTGAAATATACATAGACATTTGTTTGTGCAAAGAACCAAATAAGTATGTTGAAAAGGAATGTTTGAGAAGAATTCTGATGTCTTAGTAAAGGATGAAACATGACCTCTAAAAGTCAGCTACTCCAGCCTGCTACTCTTCAAGTTTTGATGTCACCTGAAATATTTTCGATGTATATACAGCTTGTGTCACTGTACCCTGCTTATCAGAATGACCATTAGATGCAACTCCCTTAACTTTGAGTATCAAGGTATGCCCAGCCTTGACAAAAACAGAAAAGCCAAAACAAAACTTAGTTCTTTCTTGAAAACAGAAACATCACGTAGAATAAAATAGTAACTCAGAAATACCACATTTGATAGTTGATCACTGAAGATGTTAGCACCTCGATAGGAAATTATCATTGTTTATTGGATGTGCCAAAGGAAAATGGAAAAAAAAGAATGCCCTGTTTTATTTCTAAATCACAGTTTTCTCACAGTGTTAGACTTGGTTCACTCTGATGTGACAGTGCCTTATAGGGCGATGGCCACTATTGCTTTTTCATCCACCTATGACTGTCTGCATGGACCAGTTGGAGCTATGGCACAAGGACCACAAACAGCAGACTTATTGCTAAAGTGCTAGTATATTAGGAAGGTGCAATTAACTGCGTTAGCTAGCACATACATTTAAATCTTATTCTCTTGTAAAATCAGCATCTTCTAAGAAAATATGTTTTTTTCCCCCCACAAAATCTGTATCGTTATGGTATCATGGCACCAGAAAGCCATTTCCCAGATTAAATGCTTTTCTGGTCTGAACACCATGTCTATTTCCTTGTATTATTTCACTAATGCATGGGTTTTATTTCATTATGTTCCCATACATTAATTGACCAGAACACAATTATGAGTTATCGATTGATGTGTTTCATGATGATATAACTTGAGAAGTCATTTCTGTAGTTCCTGCTAGCAGGAAGCTCTTAGAAAAATTGCTTTTTTTCCAGTAGACTAGTGAGTTCAGTTGATCTACTTGTTAGACAATCTAAAACTACAGGTTGTTGGTGAATGAAAAAAATAATAGAGAGAACATCCAAGTTCCTTTTCTGCGTGTCTAAATGATAGGTCACCTTGACCCAGAACTTGGGTCTATTACAGCTTTGGATCCTCATTTCTGTACTCATGGCTATTCATTTATTTTGTAGCTTTGAAATGTTAAAAATATAAGGTATTCTTATGGTCTCAAGTTTAATTATAAATAGGGTGGTAGTATTCACCAATCCTGCCAATGAGATTTCACACTCAGCCACCAACTATCAGCAAAATTTGGTCATTATCACATTCAATCTTATTTCACAAACAGTGAACTCTAAGTCATGGCACAAGTCCTGAGCTTTGTTAAATTTGGCTGCTATCCTCATCTCAACCACAACAAATGTCCCTGATAATATGGAAGGAGTCAATGGGAAAAACATTAGAGCCAGAGTTTGATCTGGTCATTTGTGTGTCCAAGGATGCTTTGCCTTATTGCTGTGACCAGACTGTGAAGTCATAATCAGGGGTAAGCTGATGTGACCTGAGAGGTCCTTGCCTGTCCCAAGCCCTGTTAGCACTCCATGAGAGACATTGGTAGTAGTAAAAAGTCACCCTTTAACAAATTAGACCCCATATTTGTAGAACCAGTTAGGACTGCTAACAGTGGAATCAATTAAATCCAATTTGTTTACTCTCATCTACAGAATTCTATAGATACTAGAGACTAAGTGATATTCATTTTTAAAGCAGCAAAAGGCAATATTTGGTTTTATTACCATTGATATCACTTGGAGGTTGTGTGTATACAACTTTCATATAACTCATCAACAACTCTTTGTCCAAGTTTATCAGTGAAATGATAGACGTGATTCTCAACTGTGTCTCAGCTTCAGTGGGAAGCTTCCAGGTTATCTATGTACCCAAGTTTAAAACTTGGACCAAAGTTACTTAAATAAGTGTTTGTTTTTATTTGTGACTTGGAAAAATCAGTATTTATGGAACCCAAAAGACTTGTTAATATAACTACAACTAATGAACACTACTGGTCATGAAATATTAAATTAATGTCTTAGAAAGGAAAGCTATAGTATCAGAATAAAGATGCATGAGGAATATATACATATACACCTGTTTCACACAGAAAGCTCTCTGTAAAAAAAAATACAAAAGCAAACAGTGCTGTATATTATGTAAACTCACAAAGTGTACTTCATACACAAACATGAAGCATAAATTAAAAAAGAGGACAACAGCAAAACATTTTAAATATAGAATTTGCACATATTTTTGTTAAATAAGAATAAATAATTTTATCACACAAATTCACATACCAGTTGCAAAAACAATAAATTACTTTTTTTCAGTGCTGCAACTTTGTTTGTTTGTGATTAATCCCTTAATTCTTAGTTTAATGTGATAAAACTGTTTCCACAGGAAGGCAAAGTAAATTGAATTCATTGAATAAATTCAACCAATGCCCTTAAGTCCCTAAAAAACAAGGCAGGGCTTAATTTGACCTTTAAAGAAATAAATGCTATTTTTTTTCTGGGCTACCTTTTATTTAATAAAACTTAATCTGGACTGTTTAGTTTATGAGTGAGGTTAGATTCTTACTAACCTGAGTATTTTCAGACAAACTTTTTTAGGAAGCAGCCTCTAGCATCATGAATCCCAGATTGTTTATTCAATTTGCAACTACCATAAGTGAAAGGAATAGTCCTAAGTCAAACTGGACTGAACTAGGTTGTGTTATAGAGGATTTTCCCTTTGCTTATCATTCCTTATATCCACCAAATACTCAATTTATCTGACTTCAGTTTCCAGTCTATATCCTATATCACTTATATCAGGAGTTTAGACATACATTCCTTAGTCAATCTATTGATACTCATGTAAAAACAAAACAAAACAACAAAAAATAAACACCAAAAAAATAAAATAAAGAAACTTCCTTAAAATCATGGAATAGTGGTTTATTCATTCTAAGCTTTCTAGGATTGTTCAAATCAAAAGTGTAAAAGTTCATTATTTGGGGGAAAATGAATCATTGATAAATCATATTAAAAATCTATGAATCCAGTATAGAGAAGCAGAGTAGGAGACAATCATGTTTGCTCTTCAATTATCTTTTAATGTTGCTGTCAATATACCCACAAAAGATAAAATCAAACTTTGTCAAAATTGAATTACTTGATTATAATTATTTTGAAATTTGTAAAAAATAATGTTGGCCTCTCTAATAATTCTCTCTGCATAGTCAAATGGTCAGTATGATTTTAATTTTTTTCCTGACTACTCTGTTTTGTTCCCTGTCCCTGATATCTGGTTGATCTCCATCAAATGTAGGTTACCTGGCTTGTATAGGCCTCATTTCTCCAACTGATAATTTATTAAGAAAATATTACCACATCTAAAGCAAAGTCAGTTTATAAAAATCCAAATGATGGTGATCATTTTTGTAAAATAATTATTTGTTCTACCAAATAATTTCTTAAGAAAATACTTAAAACAGTGAGACCCACTGAAATGAGTGTGATGTAGCAAGATGAATTACATAATTACTTTATATTAAAAATATCTTCTAATAAAAATAAACTCTCATGAGCTTAAGGGAACTCAAACAATGGTCCCCTAATATCCTTATATGCAAATCTTCACAATAGGCACATTTGGTATTATTATTATACAATTTTATAAAAACAATTGGCTTTGTGATATTTCACAAAGAAAACAAAATCCAAATGAAATGAAACACTTTAGATTTTCTGAGCTATGGGGTGAAGGGATACAGTTTACTATCTAAAAAGAGATTTCTGGCATCTGATTGCAAAAATTTTCCATGTCTAACTATTAAAACTTACAACCTGTCTAGACAGGCTATGAAAATAAAAGCAACACACTTCTCAAAAATCATCATATTTCATCACTTAAACACGTACTTGTACAACCAAATGCTTTCCAATTGGGAAAAATCTTAAGCGCAGTATCAGTATACTTGGATTTTTTTTAAAAATGCAAGAAATTATTGCCTATATGGTGTGGAAACAGTCTTATTAATAACCACTTTTTTCTTGCACTAGCCACATTAATGGTAATCACTTCTAGATGTAGCTAACTACCAAGTGATCTTTAATATTCCTATTAAACTAAGTCAACAAGAAGTAGAAAACCTTGAAGATCTTACCCAACCTTTGAACAAAACAAATACGCAAAAACAAACACATTTTTAAAGGCTTGCTGGTAAGAGGCATACCAGTAGTGAGAGTGTTGAATGTGATTAGAAAACTCTTTGCGGGGTGTATTTCATATATATTACACATTGTGAGATACCAGATGAGAGCCACGGAAAGGGAAAGCAATTGTGAAAATATACATGGAAAATATGGTGGACTGTGATTTTTTTGCCCCTTTTAAATTCTAACAGGAGTGAACTAATTTTTAGGCTCATGAATACCAATAACATACACACACGCAAACACTATTTCTACAACCTAATTATGCAATAATTTGGCTGTCTGCCTGAAAAAATACAGGCCATCAAATGTTTAAGCAGATGGACCCGTGTATGTATTTAAATGACTAGATACACTGAGATCCTTTTCCTTTTCGGAATTTCTAGAAGATGCTTGCCGTCAAAATGATTTTTGACTAAAATGTGATCTCCGTTGTCTGAAAGTTTACTAAGTCTTATTAAAACAGCAGCAAGTTCTTAAATTTCCAGTAAAACATCCACAGCTCTTTCCAGAAACTGGAAGGAGTTGAAATAGCTGCAGACCTACTTTGGTCAAGCACTTTTTTTTTATAGAAATATATATATATATGTATATATATGTACATATATATTTTTTAATAGAACCAAGTGATATAAAGTGACATACCAAGGGAGAATGTATTTACAAACAGTAAAAAGAAGCTACTGTGTATTGTGGGTGAAAATGACTACAGTGCCTTTGAAGACATTCTGTAAGAGGTAGGTGACAAGGGGGAGACTCTTGTTCTGCCTTCTTCAAATGTCGCCTGATTCTACATTCATCATGTTTGTTCATTCTCATAGGCCCAGGGGATGTTGGCCAACTCCCGAGTTTTTCCTGTCTTCCGGGGTCGCCACAGTCCCACGAAATGGTGCACACCTTCGTTTGTCGCAGAGAGCAGATTCTGCCCATAATCGGACCCCTGTTGACAATGACTCTGAAGCGTGACCTTCTGCGCCCGAGGCGGACCTCGTGTCCACCACGACGGATCGGCGATGACTCATCCAGTTAGCTCTGCATCAGAGCAGGCCCGCGGGCTAGCATTTCTTGAGCAGACACTGCTTAAACGCGGAAGGCCTCTGGGAGAGAAGACATCCCTTCGCTAATTTGCGGTTCCCATCCTGGCACTGCACCGTCCGGGTGTGCCAGCCCGTGTCGCAGGACCGGGAGCAGGCGAGCCACGGGCCCGTCACCCACTGCAGCTGCGGGGCGTGCGAGCCCACCTTATTGCTGCCGTGGCTAGTCACAGAGTTTCCTTTCAGCGTGGACTTCTTGGGAACAAAGAAGCTGTAGCGGACATCCAGTGCTTTCGTTGGGTCTGTCGCAAGAATCTGCACGATGAGAATTTCCTTGGTGGCGGCGTAGCCCATCCCGTGCAAGAAGTCATCGCGGTGGCTCCAGCCGCTGTAGTTCATGACCGTTCCGTTGAGGTCAACGATTGTTTCCGAAGTGGAGATCATGTACTTTCCGTTGATGAGGTACTCACCGTTCTTCTTCTTCAGGGCTAAGTAGGCAGTGAATCTGGTCTGGTCTTTGGCTTTGAACTGTCGGACTTTTATGTGCGTTGCCCCTTCGGGGATCCTCACAACGTCAGTGTAACCCTTACTGGAAGCAGGAATGTCCACAGGGGAGACGGAAAGAGAGAGGGAGAGAGAAAAAGAAGCAAACACTTAATAAATGGATAAACCAAAAGAGATTCTCTAAAAGTCTTACCTTAAAAAAAAAATCTTACTTTAGGGTAACACAAAGTTTCAATGTATTTAAGAGTGTACTTTAAAATTGGTTTCAAAAATTATTATTTTTTTTGCCCTGGCTGGTGTTTCTCAGTGGTTAGAGCATCAGACGGTGCACTGAAGTGCCTCGGGGTGGATTCTGGTCAAGGGCATGCACCTGGGTGGCAGGTTCAATCCCCAGCCCCAGCTGGCGTGTGAACAGGAGGCAACCAATCGATGTGTCTCTCTCACATCAATGTTTCTCTCTTTCTCTCCCCCTCCCTTCCACTCTCTCTAAAAATCAATGGAAAAAATACCCTCTGATGAAGATTAACTAAAAAATAAATAAAATTTAATTTTCTTGAAAAAAAAATAGAATTGCGGTTAGACAATTATATACATTTTTTATTAGATGTTCAAAATTAGGGTAATGTTAGCAACCTGCCTTTGTTTTAAAAATGTATACTCACTTCACTTAAAAATTTACAAAACATAACACATCCTTATTAAATCCTGTCATCTTTACAAAACTCCTGGGTACTCTTCCGGAACAACCTGGGATAAATGTAAACACAAACTAACAAAAACCTGCCCTCAATCTCCTAGAAATCTTTAAATTAACTTGTTTACATATCAGAATCACTTGGGGATCTTTTAAAAATGTCAATCCCCAGGCCCCAGACCAGTTCAATCTCTGCCCTTCAGGACAGGACAGAGGCAGCGGTAACCTGGAGCTCCTCACGTTGTTCCAAATGTGCAGATTAGTTGGGGAATGAGTTTCACAGACTAGAGACAGGGTGGAGGCTCTGCTGCCCTTTCTACTAGAACTCTGGATTCACTGGGTAACCACTGCTTACGAGTATCATCAAAAGAAAAAAAAATGAATCTTTAATGCCTGAGCAAATTTTCCCAAATGCTTAGTGTCCATGAAGCATCCTGATAGAGTGAGCGAGGCTTTATGGTGGGTGGCAAGAAAGATAGGTTGCCAAAGATCCATTATCGGTCCAGAGAAATGGGCAAAGGCATAAATGGTGCTAATCCCCATAAGCTAGTGGCAGAGGCTAAGAAAGGAATGCTAATTAAGCAACAAGGAGCTACCCCAGAGAGAGGGAGTCATCTATTGTCCAAATCTTTGCCTCTATAAGTAATTTCATAGCAAGGTGTCCCTTTGTTCTACTTTCCTAGTTATTTGAATAGAGATAAGTAAATTGCTTATGCAGTTTGACTAATGGGTGTAAAATTTAATTATTTACTTTCAAATTCTTACTCAAGTTCAGATTTGCCGGAAGCCGGTGCCGACTCCATTCACACCTTTGGGGACCCCTGGACCTGCTGGGGTTGGACCCTGGCACAGATTGTTGGGGCAACTGATTCATACACTAAAACTCCACCTTGTGTTTCCCCCTGAATTTTTTTTTCTGAATTGGAAAGGAGGCTCCTCCCCTGGGAAGCTCCCATCTCCTGGGCATCTGGTCTATAGTGACTGGCAAATAGGTGTCAGACTTCTGTGTTGAAGACAGAAGATGCAATGCTGATGATGCTGCTTATCCATTCAACTTGAGCCATTATTTTTATTTTTGTAATACACTTTGGATTATACTTCATTACAGGACTTTTTTGTAGAGATGATGTGTAAACCTATAGTAGCTTCACAAACAAAGCTAGGAGGGCTACTGGAGATATCTCGTCTTGTGTAAAACGCATAGCAAGTGGGCATAGATTATAGCATTTGAACAATTTCGCTCCAGCACTGATTTCATGGTAGTGCTGCGTTTAAAATCCAGGCCTCCTGACCCTGAATCTGTGCTCCTTTCATCATCTCCCCATGCATATAACCCTTACCTCTGCCATTTTATTTTATAACAATAAAATGAAAATAAGTTCTTGTTATATTCAGATACCAGACATGGTATAAAGGAGATTAAGAGGGAAAGGTAAGGGAATCAGGTAGGAGATTTTGTTTGTTTTTAATCCCATTCTTTACAGTCTGTGTCATATTCATGAGAATCACTGGGGACTGTCAGCATTGCAACAGGCTTCCAAACTAAGCTCACAAGACAAGTACATGAATTAGTGCCGTGATTTCTTGGTGCCTTGGTAAAAAATAATTCTCTTTGTACTCTTCCATTTTCTTTACACCGTGCTGGACATTATTTAACTTCGGACATCAAGCATCTCCTCTGGCTACCATGAATGAATGCAGTTGTTTTCATTTAACTGTTGGGAAGTATGGCAGGCAGGACAAGGGACTCTTGTTTGGTGCAGGGCTAGGTCCACAGTACTCAGAACAGTGCCTGTTATAAGGGAACAGATTCATCCTCCATACTAGGCATGCTGTCATGGCAGTGACGTTCCAGTGAGGGGCAGTCAGATCCCCGGCTCCTCCCCACAAACAAAGTATGTGACAGTATCTACTGATAAGAGCTGTGAAGAAACACAGAGAAGGGTAAGAAGGTAACAATGGGGATGGAAGTTTTCATTTAAGACAGACACTACCTGGGGAGGTGACATCTGACAGACACCTACAGGGCTTCTTAGGAGAAGCATGGCTCATTAATTGGGGAAATGGGTTCCAGGCAGAGGACACAGTGCACACTCACCCGCTTGCCATGTTTGAGAAGCTTCGGGAAGTCCAGTGAGGGTGGAGCAGAGCCAGAGAAGGGAAGGGATAGAAGAGATGCAAAACGGGGCAGAGCCAAAACTTTTAGGACCTTATACGTTACAAAACAGTGAAATAGAATCCATGGGAGGGTGTTGAGGCAAGGAATGTCATGGTCTGACATGTAACAAATGAAGGCTCTCCCTGCTCTGTGAAGAAGAGGCTAGAAGGGCAAGGGGACTGGAGACCTGTGGGAATACTGTTGGATTGGTCCAGGCAAGAGGCAATGATCACTGGATTGGGGTGGTAGTGATCTTGGTGGTGGTAAGGGGCAACCAAATGCTATATATATGTTGGAAGTGGAACTGACAGGACATGCTGATGGATGAATGTGGGATGAGAGAGAAAATGCAGAGTAAAGGATGACTTCAAGCTTTTGCACCTAAGCTGGAGAAGGACTGAGTTGGCATTTGCTGATGTGAGGAGAACTGAAAGAGGGTAGAATTAGGAGTAGGGTCATATTCCTGAAGAGGTTTGAACTTGATGAAATATTTTAATATGCATCGCCTCCCTTGATCCTCAAAGCAATAATAATTTGCAAGATAATTAGTATCATTTCCATTCTACTGTCAGGAGTTCTATAGTAAAGAAATTTAGTGTCTCTTCTAGGGTCACATGGCTAGTGAGTCACTGAGCCAGAGCTTGAGTGCAAATATCCCAGCTCCAAGATCAATGTTTATTTAATAAATCACACCAGGCCAAGATGATGTATTTGGGAGACTTAAACAGGCCATTGGTATCACATAATATCATCTTGGGCAAAGCAATCTGTGATTGGTCATGTTGCATCCACCTGTTGGCATCATGAAACTCTTCATCTTTTTGTGTTATGTCAAATATGCAGACATTGATTGTCATTACAAAAAATTTAAAACACTAAATTTAGCATTCAAAAAGTAGTTTATAAGTTTATGTAGGAAGAATATATAATATATAGGACATAAGGTATATTTAAAAAAATGTTATTTCTCATTTGGTTCCTGAATTTCTTTCCCTCTCTCCTTTCCTTCCTTCCTTCCTTCCTTCCTTCCTTCCTTCCTTCCTTCCTTCCTTCCTTCCTTCCTCCCTCCCTCCCTCCCTCCCTCCCTTTATTCCCTCCTTCTTTCCTTCCTTCTTTTTTTTAAAATATATTTTATTGATTTTTTACAGAGAGGAAGGGAGAGAGATAGAGAGCTAGAAACATCGATGAGAGAGAAACATCGATCAGCTGCCTCCTGCACACCTCCCACTGGAGATGTGCCCGCAACCAAGGTACATGCCCTTGACCAGAATCGAACCTGGGACCTTTCAGTCCGCAGGCCGACGCTCTATCCACTGAGCCAAACCAGTTTCGGCCTTTCCTTCCTTCTTATTTCCATTTGAACAGATGGCCTGTGCATCCCATGAGCTAAGTTATAGTCTTACTCTGGCATTCACCAACCATGTAAAATTAGGTAAATCCTACATTTTCAGAGTCCCAGTTCCCTCATTTGTAAAGAAAAAAAAGGGTCAGACTTGACCATTTTTTTAATCTTTTTTTTAATTTTTATTTTTAATTTATTGATTTCAGAGAGGAAGAGAGAGGAGAGACAGACAGAAACATCAATGATGAGAGAGAATCATTGATTGATTGCCTCCTGCACGCCCCCTACTGTGGACTGAGCCCGCAACCTGGGCATGTGCCCTTGGCCAGATTCGAACCTGGGACCTTTTAGTCTGCAGGCTGATGCTCTCTCCATGACCCAAACCAGCTAGGGCTAGACTTGATCATTTTTAAGGTGTCTTGCACCTTTGAAATGTACCAAAATGTAGGATATAATTAGACTTGCAGGTTTTTCAACCTAGATGGCCCAACACAATTAGAGGAATAATTATATCACCAGAAAATAGGAATAGCAATGCATATATTAGTTCAGAATAAATTCTTCAGCCATACAAACTTTTATCATATCAAAGATAATTTTTTACAACAATATGGCACACACTTGCTTTAATAAAACCTTATTGTTTGTTTGTTTGCCTATCACTCTCCAGTTAAAGACAACACAGCACATACCTGAAGACAATAGGCATGCTTTCCCAATTGCACTCAGGATAAGAGTGTTCTTGTGAAGAAGAAAAACAGTCCTGCATCCAGCAGACCCTTTAGCTGACTCAGCCATCCTAGCTGATAGCATAATATTTTATGCCAGAAATTGGTACTTTAAAAACTTACATGTTTAAAGCAAGAGTGTAATCAAGGACCATGAGAAGAATCAGGAAGCAGACATTATTCTTTATCGAGTCAGCTGAAACCAGGAAAGTTAAAATTGGACTGTTGTCTATACCACAGCAATTAACATTTTTCAGTAAGAAATGTTTTCTCAGGAAAAATAGAGCCCAATGAGAATGGGCTTGTAAAAGGGAAAGAAGAGCAGGTGAGATGGAAACCAGCCACCCTTCCCTACATTATGGTTCAGGAATGACAGACCTGCAGGATATGGCACAAGTGCAATGTCACTGCCTTTCTTTAAGTTTTCATACTGCAAGACCTTGACCTCATGGCCACCGCAACTCACCTGCTTCCAGAGGTGCCATGAGTTTCCACTGGGGAGAAATTTTTTCATCTCCTCTTTTTCCCTTCTCATATTCGTAATGTGTTAGAGCCCTGCTAGCCCTCCTGTCGCAGATAGTTTATTGTGTCACATGAGTCCTCCTTTATCAATTTTGCAAGAGTCTAAAGCTTCATTCAATTCACATACGGGCAATTGTTCCATCACATTACCTTTTTTTGTTGAAGGTTCCAATAATCTTCGTGCAACTGGAGTTGTCTCCTCCACACACTCCACACTTGTCATACTGCAGCTTTGAGCCAATGATGCCATCACAGCCAGTCCGCACACATTTCCCCCGGACGCAGACGGAATTACTGTACGGCCTACATTCCGTTCCATCAGTCACCTGCGTGGGAGAAACACGTTAGCAGTGGGCAGAACTTGTGCCCACGTATTAGGTTTCTTTGGTAAAGGGCCACATTCTAATTGCTGAGTTTTGAGTTTGATTGGAATAGATAGTACATTGAGAAATAAACAAAGAACCAAAAAACTATAGTTTTCAGGAGCATCTAACTGAAGAATCATTTACATGTTGGCAGAAGATCTGAGGTAAGTCTCAGTTATACACTTTCTCTCTTGAGCTTAACTCCAAATGTGTTGAGACACCCAAGGTACTCATCTCCATTTCTCTATGCATATCACGTTCCCATTGTACAGCCTCTTCTTATTACCCTGAGAGAAGCGATCTTTCCACTCAGCCTGTGGGACTGTCACTTGTTTCAAGAGCAGAATATGAGCAGGAGATCTTTCTTTGTCGCATAATTATTAACATAGCAGTAAATCTGAAAACCTAAACCTGGCCTCCTTTAAAACCATGTAATGGTTGGAAAACAGTCCCTGGTGTGTCAAACTGAAAGATGCTGAAATCGAGACAAACAAATTAGTGTAGGAAAAGGGATCTGGGGAAGTCACTGAGAACTACTTACTAGAAGAAAATGACTTAACTATATATATAAAAGCCCAGCAACTGGAACAATGGCAGAATGACCAGAACAATCAGAATGACCAGAACAACCAGTGGTTATGACACACACTGCAGCAGCCAACCAGCCTGATCTGGGACCTGATCGCAACTCCCCCCCCACCTGGCCTGGCCCCCAATCGGCCCCCAACACCCCGATCTGGGGTGGGGCTGGCTGGCCAACCAACTGCAGCCCCTCCCCCCAGCTGACCCTGCCCCTGACCAGCCCCCAACACCTCGATCAGGGCAGGGCCAGCCAGCCAATCACCTGTGGCCCCTCCCTCCCACTGGCACAGCCCAATGGGCCCCCATAGGGGTGGTCCAGCCGGCCCCCACCCATGCAGAATTCGTGCACCAGGTCTCTTGTATATTCATAAAGCTAGTTATAAAATAGAATGTGCATGGACTACTTGTGGTTTGTGCATGTGAGTGTAGATAAATAACATGTCGTATATATATATATATATATATATGTATATATATATATATATATATATAGAGAGAGAGAGAGAGAGAGAGAGAGATTTTGTATTTGTGAATATACAAAAGTCTTCATACATGTGTGTGTATGTGAGTGTGTATATGCTGAAGTAGGGTATACTTCAGCAGGTTAACTGCTGTCTAGTTGGCTATATTTCCAGGTGATGTTTTTGTTTTTATTTCCCTGTACTATTTTTAAAAATGAAAATATATTTTTTTGAAATAAAAAATATAGTTTTAAATTACATTAGTTAGACATGAACTTATTTTTCAATAATGTGTCAGAAATATCTGAAGGTCAGGTACAGAGGTGGATTTAAATGTAGCACCTGCTGTGAAGGGATGAAGAAGTACAGATTGGTAGTTTCAAAATAATCATGGGGATATAATATATGGCATAAGGAATACAGTCAATAATTATGTATAGTGCCAGCTGGGTACTAGAAATATCAGGGGAAACACTTTGTAAAGTATGTGATTATCTAACCACTATGCTGTATACCTGCAACTAATACAAAATAATATTAATGTAACTGTTACTGAAAAAAGTTAAAAAATAATGAATGTAGCGCCTGTTTGCAAATTAGATAAACAGTATTAGATAAATTGCTGCATAATATTGATTGTGAGAAGTAAAGCTGCAGTAATTTAGAAAATGTTCTTCAGTGAAAAATAAGGGATAATTCTACACTCATATATTATGTGTACAAGTAGAGGGACATTGACTCATACTAAGAGTGCAAGGCATTTAAAAGTCTAGTTCAGAGACAATAATCTTGAGAACTATCTTCATGAATCACTACCAAAATTCTTAAGTAAATGATAAAGGGATAGAAAAGCTTTCTTGCTATATAGTCCCCTTTACAAACGTGCCTTGGAAATACCAGCTGTTTTCAAGGCTATTTTGAACTTAAGGTAGCATCTGACCTGATTTGATGAGTTACCCTTTTCAAAAGCAGCTTTTAAAACATGTACTGGTTCTGCTTATAAAAATTTTGTATTCATCGTATAAAGTTTGAAGATAGAAATTATAGAGATGAAAATAAAGTCCTTCTAAATCTAGACACCCCTCCCCCCCCAAAATAATGAGTGTTTACAGTTGGTGTCTGTAGGCTTCCTTCTACCAAATGATTTCCACCAACGATGCCTATTATGTCTGGACAGTTACTTACCTTTGGAGAAAACACCACATAGTAACCGGTGCCCTTGGCCCTGCAGGTCAGCTTGCACACGTCCCCCGGCAGGACGCCGGCATACTTGGGAACCCATTCCACAAACGTTTTGACTCCTTTCGTATCAGACTGATATCCATTTTTGGCCTCACACTGCTCATGACGAAAAGATTTACCTAAAAAACAAACATGTCACATTATTACTCTACTGTTCCGAAACTTACATTCATTCTTGTGCATTTAAATAATTTTCAGAAGAGGCTGTTTTCTTTCAGAGCCTCTTTACATACCAGTGTTGAACGACTTTTATTTATACATGGAGTTGAAAATAGCAATTATTTTCTTTCAACTTCCTGGATACTGAAATGTTTATAATAATAATTTTAAAAATTACTCATGTAGTTGATATTGATTTGCACACTGGTAGAATGATGAAGTTCAAGATGAACAGGCTATGTCACCAGAATAGCTAGAATAGGCTATTCTAGCCCTGTCCATGACTGCTAGAATAGGATTTGCAGGTGACGCATGGCGGTTGCTGACACCTGGGAGCAGCATACCATTCGCGGGGCAGGGCGTAACACTGCAGGATCGGTAGATGGCCCTCTTTCCTGTGCAGTAGCGGCCACTGTTTCTGGGTGCTGGGTTATTGCAGTGGCGATAGGCAAATTGTACTCCTCCCCCACATGAGCGGGAACACTGGCCCCAGGACCCCCAGGACCCCCAGTTGCCATGGCTTGATGTCTGAAATAGAAAATAGACGACATGTTAACTCAGAAGGGAAGAAAACATTCAAATGTACATTTGGACATCACTTGCATATATGACAATGGACACTTCATTTAGAGTTAAATTGTCAGTGAATGTTCTGGAATTACAACGTGTTTCTGATTCTAAGCAATTCATCTTCTCTGCTTCCCCTCTCTCTGGCATTAGGGAGTGGTTCTCAACCTTCTGGCCCTTTAAATACAGTTCCTCATGTTGTGACCCAACCATAAAACTATTTTCGTTGCTACTTCATAACTGTAATGTTGCTACTGTTATGAATTGTAATGTAAATATTGGATATGCAGGATGGTCTTAGGCGACCCTGTGAAAGGGTTGTTTGACCGCCAAAGGGGTCGCGACCCACAGGTTGAGAACCGCTGCACTAGAGGTTCTGAGTGCTTCACCCTAAGCACTTAGCGCACTGCAAGAATGACCGCCTGGTTTCTCTGACCATTTTAATTGACGCATCCCGACACTGCACATTTCTGTCAATCCCCACTGAACCCCGCTTGATGTTGTATCCACTCTGATCTCGTACCTTTAACAAAAGGTATGATGCTAAAGATTTTGCATGGCACCAGGTGTGAGTTCCTCATGCTTGTGTACCTGTTCTCCCTCTTTCGAACGAAAGTTCTGCAGTGCCTCTGGCATTACACATCCTGTCTGTGACAGACCCTCTGCCACATGCATCCATGTACTTGACCTGGGGGTGGCTGAATTCCTAACTAGATTAGCGTCTCAGGGCTTAGAGAGGAAATGTGGCGGATATTGAGGTGCACACACACCACATGCACACACACCACGGGAAACGAAGAGCCCTGTCATGACACCCCAGGCCTATTATGCTGGAAACATTGCAGCACGGAAGCTGTGACTCTTAAAGGAAGAATATTACAAACTCCTTTGTGGAGGGGACTTGTGAAGAACATTGGTGGGCTGCCTGTGTCAGGGGATCTGAGAAGGTGTTAGCCTTTGAAGATACAGGCCACATGCATATGGCATCATTCTTCTAGGGCAGCCATCTGCAACTGGTATGCTGTAAGGTTTTAAAACATGCAACACCTGCCTATTTAGTCAGAGGTGGCCTCTTTTCCCTTAGCTTGTCAAATAAAACATGGCAACAGCCAACACAATAATAGCCGTCTGGTATGAGACATGGATACAGGGAACAGGCTGACAGTTGTCAGAGGGGAGGATGTTGGGAGGGACTGGATGGAAGAAGGTGAAGGGATTAACCAAAGAACATATATGCATAGTCCATGGACACAGACAACAGTGTGGTGAAGGCCAGATAAGGGGAGCAGGGGCTGAGTAGAGGTGGACAAAGTTGGGGGGGGGATGGAGGACATCTGTAATAGTGTCAACAGTGAAAAATAAATAAAATTTAAGAACAGGAAAAAAATTATACTTTTTTTTTTTTTTTTTTGGTCAGATAGAGAAAAAAATATGTTGTGCCACAGAAGTTTAGTAATTAGTGTATATGTGCCGGGAGATGAAAAATGTTGAAAACCGCTTTTCTAGGGACTGTGGGTGAGTGTCAACAGAAACTTTGGGCCTTAAAAATGAAGGTGGCAGCCTGGCTGGCATGGCTCAGTGGTTGAGCATCGACCTATGAACCAGGAGGTCACGGTTCAATTCCCAGTCAGGGCACATGCTCGGGCTGCGGGCTCAATCCCCAGTCTGGGGCATGCAGGAGGCAGCTGATCAATGATTCTCTCATCATTGATGTTTCTATCTCTCTCTCCCTATCCCTTTTTCTCTGAAATCAATAAAAAATATAAACAAATAAATAAAAGGGGAAGGCAACAAGAGAGTTTCCTCTTTAAAAAAATGAAGGTGGCAGTTGCTGACATAAAGGTGGACTATTGGGGGGCGGGAGGCAAGGAGGAGTGTGTCCCTGGAGCAGGTGTGGGCGGCTTTAGCTGCTAAAGATAGATGAACTTGCTAAGCAGGGGAAGTAGGACGATTTGGGCTCTCCCCGAGTATGTGTGAGGACCATGTGTCAGGTCTATTGCTATTTCCTTAATGAATTCAAAAAATGCAGTCTCATAACATGGCTAAGAGAAGCCTGAAAGTAAACTTCCCCAGAGTGGGCCCTACTGGGTCTCAGGCAGGTAGAATCTGGGCTGCACCCTTATTTGTCACCGGACATAACCTGGGCAGAGCACCTGTAGCCTGCATTGCCTCCAGTTTTTCCATGGCTGGACCTGGCTGCTGTGGTTAAAGGAGGAAGCAGGAAATAGCTCTCTCAGGAAAACACAGTTTAACTAGGAAATGAAGCCTCCTGCTGACAGCCCCACACATGTCAGGGGAACGTGCACCAGGTCTTGGTCTCCAGGCATCGCGTGGCAGGAAAACCACTTACCGAATAATATTTTTTCTTGGTTTTGTCCACACACTTGCCCTGCAGGCAGATCCTCCCTTTCCCACACGGGGTCCCTTCCACGGCGGGCAGCTTCTTGGTCAGACACACCATCTGGCCCTGGCGCACCACGGCGCACCAGAGGCGGGCGCAGACGTCCATGCCAGGGCACACCGAGTACTCGGGCCCGAAGGTCAGGTTGCACTGCTGGGTGGCATCGTAGGTCTGTCCTGGGAGCTCTTCGGGGCCCAGGATCTGCTTGCGAGGCAGGTCTAGCAAACAGTTACCTGAAAGAATAACCAAGATTGGCCACTGCTCCGTGTGTAGGTTTTAAACCACTAAAGTCACGGATCTAAAGATGCAGTGCTCCAGCCCTAGCAGGTTTGGCTCAATGGATAGAACCTCAGCCTGCAGACTGAGGGGTCCTAGGTTCGATTCCGGTCAAGGGCACATGCCCTGGTTGCGGGCTCATTCTCCATTTGGGGGGGTGTGCAGGAGGCAGCCGATTCTCTCTCATCATTGATATTTCTATCTCTCTTTCCCTGTCCCTTCTCCTCTGAAATCAATAAAAATAGATTTAAAAGATGAAGTGCTCCAGCTGATGCTGAAACATGATGCGCCCACAGATCTGCCCTCGGGAAGGGACTCTGTGGGGTGAGGCTGGGTTCCTCCATGTAATGTATTGACTCTAGGGTATCTATAATGATGGCAGTGGCATGATTGAATAAATGCAGTTTGTAATAATTTGTTGTGAAAATAGCCATTGTGCTAAGAGACTAAAAGAAATGGATTGCCTGGCTGGCTGGCATGGCTCAGTGGTTGAGCGTCAACCTATGAACCAGGAGGTTGGATTGTGGGCTCGATCCCCAGTGTGGGGTGTGCACGAGGCAGCCAATCAATGATTTTCTCTCACCATTGATGTTTCTCTCTCTCTCTCTCTCTCTCTCCCTTCCTCTCTGAAATCAATAAAAATATATACATATTTTTAAAAAGAAACTGGGACAGATCTAGAGGAAATAAAATAATGGACATAACAGCAACAACAATATATAAACATTTACATCAGTAAGAAATAATGTGCCCTTGGCACTCTATTTATACCCCATTGTCCACTTTCAACTTCTCTCTTCCTCATGTGCCTTCCCTTGTCCCCTTCTCATTAACTCCATAAATAATAAACAAGTGGATCCCTCTTTCATTCTTGCACTCACTGAAAACAATGATAATGGGTATGATGCCCAACGTATTTGGTTAGCACCTACAATGTCCTAGTAAACATACTAGAATTGGGAAAACAGAAAAATAACCCAGATCCAGCCTTCAAGGCCTCCCAATAAAGTGAAAGAAATAGACTAAATAACGTATTTCTCCCAGACTGATAAGACTTGGAATAAAGGGCTTTCAAGAGTCACAGAATAAAGGAGGAGTGGGAAAAATCAAGAAATAATCTTAGATGATTTGGGCCGAGACCCAACTTTTACTCTTCTCCATTTTTCCCCCTTTGTGTCAGTTTTTCATGTAATTCGTATTTGTTGCTTGGAGTGTGTCTGCCCCCCAACAAGTTGGTGCCCTTATTACAGAGTAATATGGGGAGTATGTAGTGAGCTGGGGGCCAACAGAAGCCACCACTCCACGTGAATGATGCAATCTCAGAAGCGAAAGCCTACCTGCAACACGCTTCTCTAAGAATCCCTCCTCAGGGAGTAATATCATTGATCATCTCCCATGATTTGGGTGCATGCACATTGCCCACCATTTTCTGTATTTTTTTTTTATTTACTTGATTTTAGAATTTACTTGCTGATGATTAAGAGCACTAAAAATAACAAAGATTTCTTACACATTTACACTATTCTCAGCTACTTAAATGTATTAGTTTACTTAATCCTCATGAGAACTCTGCCAAGCAGACTCTATTGTCTCATCATTGACCAACTTACTTCTGCTTTGCACGTGGATAGATTTTTCTGATTTTATTGCTGAAGGGAAAGCACAGGTAGGGATCCTTTAAATGGTGGGTATTGTGCCTCCTGGTAGAAACACCAGGTCTAAAGTCTAACTCTGGCAAAACACTAAGGGCTGAGTGTTCTTGGCCAACTTAGTTAACCTCTCCCTAATTTATTTTTCAAGCTCTGTGAAATGTTTCTCTTTTCACTGTGACACCGTAAGGGTAAAATTAACTAAAAGAGATATAAGAGGCCACTAGAAAAATACAAAACAATGGTAGTTGCTATTATGTCCAGCATCTATAACAACCATTTAGATATATTCGAGTTATTCTTTTTCTTCAACAAAATAAAGATATTTAAATCCTACTTTCCACCGAGAAATTAAATACTCAGCACATTTTAAATATACAGCAAATGTTTTTACAACTACCACACTCACATTTCTTCAAAGTGAATACCTTAGAATGTGTCGATCTGTGACGGAGGCATTATATGAAAATGAATAAAGAGCAAAGTTCCTATTTAAGTTCTGGGCCAGAATGTTTGAAGAGGTAAAACTTCTTAAGGCAAGCCAGAAAAAGCATTAAAAAAGAAGTACCCAGCCAAAGAGAACTTGGGGAGAAAAACATCAAGTTAAAAGAAAAACATCAACATCAAGTCAATAGGAAAGAATGATAGTAAAACCCCACGAAGCTTTGTTTAGGAGACGGAGGAAGATTGGGCCCTTTGGAACCCCCTGGAAAGCCTATCTTCATTGCTACATAGAAAGAGCATTGTGTAAACCAGGGAAAGCTCAACAGATTGCTGATGTTAGGAGACTGTCCACGGATCTCTGAGACAGCAAGAATGCTTTCCAATTCTTCAAAAGTACTGCTTTAAAAAAAACATTTTAATTTTACTAAAAAGCACAGACCATAAGACTGGGTAACTAAATATTAGCTGGGAAGTCTTTACATGTGTGGCTGCATGTGGCAATGGTCTACCTGGTATGGCTCCAGCCAAAATAACTCCCCACCTCTCTGTGGACATGCAGTCACCGACATCCTCTCTACCTTACTGGTAGATGATGAGTGAAAAGAAATGTATAATGCAAACAGTTTGAAATCAGCTTACACAAAGGCAAGTTCAAGAGGTGACATCTCTTTATAACGCTTAATACCAAAGGATGAATTTTGAAAATGAATAACACATTTGTTTTGCTATGAAAAAGTTGGTATCTCTGCTGCATGGTTTTCAGGTAGAGGTCACCGGGGGATGACTTTACTTGCTTAAAGTGACTTATTTCAGAATTGCCATTAATGTATTACTCTAGGATTTGATGCTGCATTCCTTTCTTTTTACTCTGAAATGTACAGTCTGTCGATTTCATCTATTTGTTGAATTACATCCTTTAGCTATAAAATAGGTACAGGCATCTCTACCAAATGGCAGACTGTGCCACAGAACAATACAAAATAAAAAGCCTTATTCTGAATCTCACAGGATAAAATATTTAAAATCTCAGTAATAGTGGATTGGATATAGATTTTCCATCTTAAAAATTGTGTATGTTTTGGGGGAGGGATGAAAGAGGAATTGATCAAACTTTTAGTATCATTCATGTTAACCTCTAAAGGTATTCAGTCTACGGTTGACTTTTCTTGCTCATTTTTACTTTTATTCTCAGCCACTTTGTTACATTTACTTAATGCACTTTTTAATTTACCTTTGTCTGAAATCCTATCTGGGCTTGGCCGCCCACATTGGTCTGTTTGCTGTGTTCCACAAACTGCCAAGTTGCTTTTTCCTTTCTCCCTCCTTTTTCTCCCTCCCTCTTTTCTTCCTTTCTTTTGCTTTTTTTTAAAATATATTTTATTGATTTTTTACAGAGAAGAAGGGAGAGGAATAGAGAATTAGAAACATCGATGAGAGAGATCGATCAGCTGCCTCCTGCACGCCCCCCAGTGGGGATGTGCCCGCAACGAACATACATGCCCTTGACCGGAATCGAACCTAGGACCCTTGAGTCCGCAGGCCGACGCTCTATCCACTGAGCCAAACCGGTTCGGCACCTTTCTTTTGTTTTAACATTTGGTGCATATAAATGATGGTTTCTAAAAGGCATATTACTAGCTTTATCGTCTATATTTACAAGGGATTTCTGCAATTGATTTTCTAATACTATTTTATCTCCAAAAGTCTGTGGTTCAGTAAGTGACTGTAAATGAGACCTTCGAATATGCTCCAGGTTAATGTTTCAAAGCTGTCTCTCGGTTTTCCTGGGCAGCCTGTGTCATGGGTGTATACTTGAGCTGTGGCTACTAGTACTAGGTGGCAGCCTTTCTCATCACCTGGCACTGAGACTTAGGGATACAGTGGGGGTTGAGCTATTGTTTCTGGCTTCAAGGTTACAGAGCATTTAAGCAAGGAAATTCAATAACCTGCTTTCACTGCACAATTTCTCTGCCAGTGCTTCCCTTTATTTTTGAGGATCACACCCTAGCCAGCTTGCCTGGAGCTAACTTGTATAAACACGGCAGAATGTCTTCAAGTATCTCGGCCAGGTTGGTGGGGGCTGGGGATCCCCATGAGATATGGCTTCTCCTTTTCTGAATCACAAATGTGCAGGCACAGTTATTTTCAAGTGTGCATACTGACTTTCAATCATAACCGAATTGCTACATAGTTCTTGTTGGAACTAAATCAGGAAACACTCAGTATTAATGAATTTTAATTTGGCAGTGGTTGAGTGCTATAAATGTCTGGCTGCTTATGGCTAATAATTTTAAAAATAAAGCAAATGATTTGCGTGTAATCACACTCTAAGACCTCATTTCTCCAGCATTGCTGGAGGGAGACAGGTGAGCTATTTTTTTTTTTACCCATAAATAGATTTTTCCAGATAATAAATTCCTTAGGCACCATCTAAAAATTGTATAAATTTTGTGAGAATATCTATTTAAAACAGCAGTTGCTTTACTGCCTTTATATTGGTGTTAAAATTTAATCTTCTTAAAATAAAGGAGTATCAATTTTTGTATCATGCTGAAATACAGAGGTACCTTCACGGATCTTGCTGGTAGGATAGGGTTTTTTTACTTTTGGCAAAATGGTGCCAGATCTTTAAGCTTTAAATGTTTTCGGGCCACATCTTACAGCTTTTCTGGTTTCTCCCTTATTGTCAAACTAAAGGCTCAGTGCACGAAATTTGTGCATGGGGGGGGGGTGGTCGGACATCCCTCTCACAATCTGGGAACACTGGCTCCTAATTGCTCACCTGCCTGCCTGCCTGATTGCCCCTAACTGCTCCCTGTGGGGTGGGGCCAGCTGGGGCAAGGGGCCGTGGTCATTCTGGTCTCTGGTCGTTCTGGTCATTCCGCTGTTTCAGTCACTAAGCTTTTATTATATAGGATGACATCATTTCTTGCTTTCAGTTTACCTGTCTGAAGTGCACCCCACCCCCGCCATGATTATATTATTGCTTAAAATATTTGGTGGGCAAGAAAATTAGAACAAAAATTAGTAGCTTGGCCAGCATGGCTCAGGGGTTGAGTGTCGACCTATGAATGAGGTGGTCATGGTTTGATTCCTGGTCCAGGCACATGCCTGGGTTGTGCCTTGATCCCTGGTGGGTAGTGTGCAGGAGGCAGGTGATCAATGATTCCCTCTCATCATTGATGTTTCTATCTCTGTCTTTCTCCCTTCCTCTCTAAAATCAATAAAAACCATATATTTTTTAAAAAAGAAAAAGAGAAAAAATAATTATTTCTACTAAATATGAATAAGTGGGCTCTGATGGGAAGCCTGAGTAGCTCTCTATAAGTAAAGTGAAAGGATTTTATGATATGATTTCATTATATCAGTTCAGCCTTCTGACAAAGATGTGTTTGTTTATTTGTTTGTTTTTCCATTGTCTTGGACTTCAACCTTCTTCTTGGTTCTCTCCTGAGCTCTGAAGTGGAAATGTCAGAATCTCATTCATCTGGAAATTGCATTTACTAGTTCCGACTGCCACACTTCCACTTAAGTCAGTTTTCCAGGTTGCAATTTAAAAGTTATTATATTATTTGAATTCACATTTACAGAGAGCACTGCTCTGCATGCTATTTTGAAATGCACATAGTTGAAAGCTTTGCCATTGTATCATAGGGCCTTTCTTTCTTTTTTCTCTCTCCTTATTCTGAAATTACTTGATTCATTATAGGCTACTGAAAAAGGCTTTGTTGTTAAAACTCAAGACTGCCTAACCAATATATTTTAAAGTGAGAGTCTAAGTTTCATGAAATGAATAAATCAACTAAGAGAATTTGCTATCAAAATTCAATTTAGGAAAATGAATTTAGTTATTTAACATATAAATGAGAAATTCAGATAAGACTTTATCATTGCAAGTGAAGTAGGTCTGTTTCCACTAAAAATATGTTCTTGGTTGTTATATCCCATGAGATCCTTTGGAATAGACATAGAGATATATAAAACATGTAAATTAGTTGCAAAAATTTAACAAATCTGGACTCTTTCAAATACAGAAGTAATATTAAAATATGAAGATAATACTAAAAGCATATTTACTGCACAGAAAGTAAGATCATGGATTCCACAAATGTGAAATAAATGAATCATTCCAAAATTATGGTAATAAGAAATAAAATTCTGCACAGCATTGTAATTAACTGACCTAATACTTGCACAGGGAAAAAAATTTGGTCCCTTTTTAGCCATAAGTATTTGCTGCCTTAGCAACTAAATCCACCCATTTAGTGATTCAAAGTTTAACTCAACATTTTGGAATGTGTAACGTGTGATGCTGAAATAAAATATTAATGTGATTTCATTTTCAGAAAGCCTGAGAAAAAAAATCCCAGCAAAAGTAATAGTAAGAGTAGAGAATACATGCTTGGCTGGCGTGGCTCAGAGGTTGAGTGTCGAGCTATGAACCAAGAGGTCACACAGTTCGATTCCCAGTCAGGGCACATGCCTGGGTTGCAGGCTCTAACCCCAGTGTGGGGCGTGCAGGAGGCAGCCAATCAATGATTCTCTTTCATCATTGATATTTCTATCTCTCTCTTCCTCTCCCTTCCTCTCTGAAATCAATAATATATCTATGTTATATTTTTTTAAAAAAAAAAGGCATTTGAAAGAAAGAAAGAAAGAAAAAAAGAAAGAAAGAAAGAAAGAAAGAAAGAAAGAAAGAAAGAAAGAAAGAAAGAAAGAAGAAAGAAAGAAAGGAGAATATGATTCCACCCAAGGGGGACTTTACTAGACATTCACTTGATCCATGTAGACAGGCAGATAATTAAATAAACATTAATTTTGGGAGTTTATCAATATTTAATCAACATTGTAAACTGAGCTAAACAGAAAATTACCACTTTATTATTAATCTAAAGGAAAAGCCTAGTTCTTTGATTCTCAGTATTATCTCAAATCTTGAGATATTGAGATGTCCTTTCAATGAACAAAGAATGTGTATTTTGTATTGAGGAAAATTTTAAACCAAGTTGGGCATGGACTATATTCAGAAATAGGAAATTTTAAAATTCCCAAGTGGATAAAGCATTTCCACTAACAGAGCAAGAAAAATGAGTTAATGAACAGATTTTGCCTATAAGCCACCAAAGGACATGGAACAGATTTTATTTTTGTCTGAAAAAAAATTAAATTTTTAATTGTTTTGACATTATGGAGTCAATGTTGAAGATGGTGATCTCACTAAGAAATTACAAAAATATTAAACCCTAACTTTGTGGAACTAGGAAAAAGCAGTTATTACAGATTCTCTTTATCCAACTTTGAAGCAATCATTATAAGTTAAATTTATGGACAATCATTATGCTCAACAATTTCTGTCATATTCAATTCAACCATGAGTTTTACAAAGAGACAAATTTTAAGAGAAAAAAAAGCCACAAGAAATGAGAATATGTCCTTTTCTGTAATATGAGAAACTTGAACTAAGTGGTCTCTGAAGTTCTCTTTCAACTCTAATGAACTTATTCTCCAGTGTTTCTAGTATTTTAAAATAATAAGGAATGCTAGGAAATTTGCAACTTCTTGTTTCAGATTACTTATGGGTCAGAACTTATTTCTAAAAACTGTTACTTCCTTAGTGTTTTCATAAAATTCACTAATCCTAGGTTTACACAATTTAATAAAGCATGCTGTGCTCTTGAACTGTGTCTGAATGAGAAAGCCAAAGATTTTCGTTTGAAGTTCTTGAAGTATTTTCCCACCATTCAGATGGATTTTCTATTTCTGTTCTTCAGTTTTTACTCCACTTTCAGGAGAATCTGCCATTACGATGAAATCAAATTCTTCCAGTGAATGTAAACCTTTCCTGGCTTTCTGTTGCCATAAAGAGAATCTGACAGAATTGTCACCTACACCTGAACCACACCCCTATAATAGGCATGTAACAAGTAATCCTGCGAGTCGTATTAATAGCAGGGATATAAGATGTCTGCCAGCATTCTCACAGGAAGCCAGTGGTGAAAGAAGGAATAAAAGCCAGGCTTTCAGGCCACGAGCTAGGGCCTTCTGTGTGGTCTCCCACATTGCTTCTCTTTTGAACTTTTCAATTCAAAAGCAAAAATATCATTGCTATAATGCCACCAAGGATGTTGGCATTAGAGCCCAATAGACAGTCAGTTCTCTTGCTTCTTTTTTTCTTCACACTATCTAAACATCCATTGTCTTAGAGGGCAAGGTGAATGTCATGAGGATATCATGAAGGAAAACTCGTAATAATCCTAAGTTTTGTTTCTGAGCCTCTGTTGCCCTGGACAATACCTACCGTGGCCATCGTCCAGGAATTCTGTGATGGTGGCTGAGGCACATTTGGACCAGGGCTTGGATGCATCGATGCTGGTTAGGATGGAAGACATTAAGCGCTTATCTTCTGTGGAGCCGAAGTTCTCTTCACAGAATTTGGAATCGTCATGGGAGAGGCCAAGGAGATGTCCTACAGGAGAGATTACAGGAAGTGCGGATCAGAGTGATTTTGCGACTCTACTTTTCTGTGTCAATTACACTAGCACTTGATTTCCTCCCCCCACAACATTTGTACATGAGTTCATTGTAACTGCCTTTCTCACACAGAGACCGGACCCCCGGGGAAATCAAAGATTATAGTTAGAAGCAGTCACTTTGGGTAAACATTTAGGGGAAATATGAAAATGACACTAAGGAGTAGATGTTCCCATAATGCATCTGGATCACACATGCTCAATGATATGCAGAAATGAAGCCTTATTTAGAATCAAGAATTTGCAAGACAACTGTGGGATTATGTCATAGCCCTCACTACATATTATTGTGATTATTTGTCTAATTTTCCATCTTCTCTGGTCAATCAAAATCCCCATGAGATCAGAGAACATTTCCCTCCATTGACTGTTGAATCCTCCGTATTTAACTCAATGTTCTGCAAGTTGTAAACACTTAGTAGATGGCTTCTATTTCCTTAGCCAAGTAGCTACATGAGATGAGTGGGGGTGGAGTGGGAAAGAAAGAGAAGTGAAATGAGTAACTTTCTGCTTGCATGCAAATGTAAGCTTGCCTCACCCTTTCATTTCTCTTCGTTATTTAGTGAGTTATCAATGTTTACTAATCTCACACATAAATGGCACAGTTTCATTTATATTTAAGAAAAGCCCAAAATACCAAGATGTTCATCATGGAATGTTAGAGCTTGAAGAGAAAAGAAAAATATTGGGAAGGTAAGTGATTGTCTAAAACCACTCAGCTAGGTGATGTTTGTACTTATTCCTCTCAGCCATGTTTCCCTGGCTCCCAGTCACTGCCATCTCCATTCTACAAGACAGATATTACATCACAGAGTTCATAACCATGGTCTTGTAATCCCACTGAATTATTTATCACATAAGATTAATTTTTACATAGTCTACAGATAAAGAGTCATTGTCCAATAAATCTAAAATGTTCTGCAAAAATAAATTCGGGGCAGCACTGAAGAAACTCTGAAAAGTAGGAAATAGATACTCCTGGTAGCATTTTTGCAAAAGTTTATAGAATCATACGCAAACCACTACACAGGAATGCAGGACATCCTATAGAAAAATGATGACTGCTTTTTCTGTGGGTTTCTGAATGCCAAAGGCAAGAACTTGGATCATTCCACCAAAAGAGTCCAGTGTGTACCAGTAAAACCCAACAGAGATGAAGTCTTTCACGCATTCCAACTACTTTTGGCCAACTTGTTAAATCACCAACACCTCATAACAAAGTTGTCCACTGAGCAGCTGGTTGCTGTTGTGGCTGAAATGAAGTAGCTAGGACTTGGTGACCTTCCGAGGCTCAACATGTTCATGCTATTTAAGCAGTTATTTACTTCAATAGCATTTACTAGGCTAGCAAGTTTTCTTAGGGAAAACCTCCCATCAGCAGTCACGTTTTATTTGGTAAGGAACATGAAAGCCCATCACGGTCTGCAAAGTGCACCCCAAATCACATGCAACAGGAGATTGGAGGGGTTCTTCCAGTTTTGGGGGGGGGTATGTTGAGTTTTCCAGGGAACCCACAGCTCAGCTCACAGAAAAACAGAATCTGTCATTCATGCCCTATTGAACGTGGCTTAAAGTTACTTAGTACATCAAACACGGGTTGAGAATACACTCTGTGCTGCCTGAATTTTTCCAAGGCACAATGTTTCTCAGCTAACACTGGGATTTGTAGGGAAATTTCACACTTGAGGTTTTCCCCCTGGCATAAATGAGAGGGGAAATGGCTTAAAGTGACCTCTGCAACATAATATTTATTTTATATTTAAAAAAAGCATGTACCTTTTGCATTCTATTTCATAGTCATATTTATTTAAAGGACTAAGAGCCCTTTTCCCCCTCCAAATCTACATACATAAATAGCACTTGCCATGTGCATTTTTATTAAGGGATTGTCACTTCATATGGAGGGTAGGTATTAGGTTTCGGATTTAAAATGCAGGCCATGTGGCAAATACCAATTTAACTTTGAGGGGCCTGGGAGAGTACCTCAATTTTTTTTCTTTCATATAGTGGTAAGGCATATCATTTTAAAGATTTCAGTTATATAAGCAAAGCAGTTGATTTTAAAATTCTTTGGTATAATTTTATGAGTATTTTGGCATGCTACTTGGCATACTATTGTGACTTGTGCACTCTTTACATTTACTAATTTAGCACTGCAACTTCATTTCTGCTGAAGATACAGATAAGAAATTCTTATTTGGCCCTCAGAGAACATTGCCATTCTGAGCATGAACGAATCTGAGTCCCACTTCAGCGAGAGCTAAAAGGAGATGGGAATTTTGTAAGATCCTCAAGAGTCAGTCAGGAGCGGACTTGCTTGAGCATCCATTGAAAGAGAGGTGGACTCTTCGGAGGGCAGAGGAATGGTCCCTCCTCCATGAAAAAGTATGTCAGCTGGCTGGGACAGGCACGCTCTCTCAAGGGCAATGAGAGTCATGGGCAATCTGAAGACCTTTTAAGCGCCCAGAGAAACGGGCAGCCAGTTCCACAGTAGCTGGAGCCAGGGCACAGTGAGAGAAACCCATGTGACTTCCCCGCAGGAGCTGGACAGGAATGAAAATGGAAGATCAATGTGAGGGATGTTGGATCCCCGTCAGGAAAGACGTGACACACATAGCAAAGGCTGTGAGCAGGAAAAGTGGCGATTTGCAAATGGGACCCTCCAATCATTATGCTAAGACATCCAATGCCAGGCATGATATTTGCCAATACCTTTGAGCCCTAAAATGGCAAGGTACACATAAAAGCATAAGCTATTTTAAATTTTGTTGTTGTTCATCCTCAGCTGAGGATATTTTTTCCATAGATTTTTTTTTTTTTCAGACAGAGTGAAAGGGAGGGGGAAAGAAAGAGAGAGAGAGAAACATCGATGTGAGAGAGACACATTGATCGGTTGCCTCCTGCACACATTCCTACCAGGATTGAGCCTGCACCTGAGGTACGTGCCCTTTACCAGAATCAAACCCAGACCCGTCAGTCGTGGGCTGATGCTCTAGCCTAACCATTGAACAAAACCTGCCAGGGCAGCATTACCTATTTTAAAAGGACATTCTCAGTAAAGACAACACACAAGAATACTAAAAGCTGACTCAAAGAGTAAAATCCAGAATCTAGGAAATTTAAAAAGCAATGTCCCAGCTGAAAACAATATATTTCAAGTACATGATGTGAAGGGGAATCAGAATATATCATGATGTCATTGACTGCCTAGGACATTGCCTTTTCCAGTGAGAGTTTGCTCATAAATCACTCACAGAGATTTTTTAAATTACAGATGTGGATGGGAGATTAAGCATTTCTCCGACGAGCTGCCTCCAGCAGGCTTAGCATGGCTGATATTCATCCATGTGCCCCAGAGAGTAAAACAGCCAATGTAAGAAAATGTTGGAGAAATTGTTTACAACTCTTTAAAGTGATTCATTGTTGTTTTCATCAAATATGTATTTTATGATGAGTTTTTAGAACAGAGCGAAGTTATTTGAGGGGTGAAGTCTTGGAGGGGGCAGGGGGATGGATTCCAGAAAGTCACAGAAAAGCCATTGTTACCCTGGGAAAGAGAGAGAGATACATCTTTCTCAAGTCAAAGTATAGGAAAAGAAAGATAAAGAGGTCTCAAAGCAATTTTGGAGGGTAAAAGAAGATATTAGAGAAAGTTTAACCAAGTTCCCTCAGTAAAACAGGAAGTGAAAACTCCTAGTGGATTTAGGGCAACAATTCACTATTAGGGTTTCGAGTAGAGGTTCCGGAGTCTTGATTTATGGAAAAATTAGTATTTGTATTCGCAACCATTTATAATTAGTAGATTGTAAAAGATTGAAGAAGTTCATTTGCTTGAACTAAGTTAAGCAATCTTGTTTACATTACTATTTTTATTAGTGAATCTCTAATTCTCAATTGATGTAATTGCAAACTTCTCACCTAAAATCCTGAGGCAATTAAGGACCAAATACACTTGCGTAGTGGATGCACTTGCTAATGGTATTTGCATTTATACACTAAATAAGGAAGAAAAGGTATTAGAGAGGTCAGAGTAAAATTTAGAGAATCATGTAACTGTCTGGTCCGGTATTTGCTCAAATGAGGCAGCCACCAGTACTGTATCTTGCTGTTTAAAATCAAGGTGTAATTTGTAAGTGCTTTTGGAGAAAATACTGATCTATTCCTAATAGACACTAAAGCACATCATAAATACAAAAGTCATGCTATGAAGTGCCCATCACCCATCAAGAAGGAGTTTATTTCAATTATGCTAAGGGAATGCATTTCATGGTAGATTATGTCAAAGCAAAGACTATGGGTTAAGAGTTTGAGTTATACTGTTAGTTCAGATAGCAAACAATTAGTCACATGATACTTTTTCTAGTATGATAACCGTCTTTTAAAATTGGCAAGTGGATGTGATTGTATTAAATAAATTTCATCTCTAATGTTCAAAATATAGATTTTTAAACCACCTTGCCTTTCTAAATTCACAAGTGAATCTGCTGTTAGAAAACCTGAGACAATGTTCACCTGGGTAAAGACATGCTACTTTAAAGGAAAATGTTAGTTCAGCTTCTTATTCAGCTCAGGTATTACTGTACAACCAGGGCTGACTTATAACATTAACCTCAGGAAGGAAATTGGTTGTTTTTCTAAACTTTGGTCTGCAAGTTAAACAGAATTTCAGGCTCTTGACCCCAGAGTGACCAATGGACAAGGGGACACAGCAAGCTCCTAAAATGTGTCACAAAACTCTGTAATGTGTTTACTTAAGAAAGCACTGGTCAAATGAAGCATCTGTCTCTTCATGAAATCATGTTTTTATTTTACCTAATTTTCCAGCTTGGATTATTGAGGTGCAAGAAGGTCACGCCAAGGGGCTGAAAAGTGAGTCAATAGCTCAAATGGGATCAGAATCTAGAATCCTTGAGGAAGACATCTAGGAGCTCCAATA